TTTCAATGCTACATCACCCAGAGAGTGCCTGTATTCTTATTCTTCTGAAAAATATACAATCCCTTCTAATGAGCTGGAGAAAACTTTAAATATATCTATCACACAGACTTATAATAGGGCTGCTGTGCATCTTAAATTTTACTGCTGATCTGGTATTTGTCTGTTCCGTGTGATTTGTTCATGTAATTCAGCTCATTCCTCTTTGGGCATCTTTTATACAGCTGTGGTCACTGTTTCTAAAACACTATTCAGACTTTTGTGCTTTCATGTAATATATTTTAGGAATGTTTTATCTCTTTTATAGTCAGCCTTGTTATTTCAACTACAATTAATTTATCACTGATGCTAATTGGCTTTGATTTACTAGTAATGTCATGCAATCTTTTTTTTTTATACCTTCTCTTTTAAATGACATATTACCAATGAACCTAACAGCAGTTTTTCCTTTTTAATTCTCCCTGCAGGCCCAACACTGTCATGGTGAGATTCAAGAAGGGTGACAGTGTTGGTCTCCGCCTGGCAGGAGGCAATGACGTGGGGATCTTTATTGCGGGGGTACAGGATGGCAGCCTTGCAGAGCAGGAAGGGCTGCAGACAGGCGATCAGATCCTTAAGGTAAAGCCCTGTCTCTCACTGTGGGATTATCAGCCTGATGTAAAAGGGCAATAAAACCTGCAATGTTATGTCCAGACAGTCATTCTCCATGATGCCCACACAGGAACGAGAATGTCCATTAACAATACAAATACAAGACCATGTTGAGCTGCAGGTGCTGTGTAGTACAGGATCTCCCTAGATTCGTCTCACAATCCCAGTCTATTGTGCAGCTAATTTTTCAAGTTGCGTTTAACAACCTTCGGCTTGGTTTCATCCTACGCTGCTCCAAGACCCTGTCAGCCAGACTGAATCACAAATAAGCAATTGTGCAAATGTTGAATTTGCTGATGTACCATAATGTACACTGACTTTTCAGACTCTCTGTCCCTCATCACTGCTCTGCTGACCCAAGAGACAATCTGCATGAAGTCCTTGAGGCTTGTTTTTTTAAATAGGCTTTCCTGTAACAACATCATGTTCTTTTATTCCTTTATTGAAATACTCTACCCGAAACTTTTTTTTGCTTTCTAACCTGTCAATACATATGTATTAGGTTTTTGTACTTTTGAGAAGTGTTACGGATTTTTTCACTTTGCACTATTTTTGCCACACAGTTGGGTGTGGGATTACCCAGATAAGAAGTAAAAATTTTCATTTTGAGATGTCAAAGCTCTAAGTACAGTGGATTACTTGAAAACTTTTTCTTTGTATTCGTTTTATTTAAAAAAGTTTTAAATGTGTTAATCATATTAGCACAGGAGAATCAAAATACTCCACTGATGTACTATTTACAGTATGCTATTATTAATTTAGGTGTAAGGTTGTATTCTTGGTACTTCTGTGCCTATAGAGTGAAGGCCAAGCTACTTTATAGAGTTACACTTGTGAGCGCTCAAATTTGAGCTTTGAGCTGTATTATCTCTGTGTCAAAGCTTTGCATTTAATTTGTCAAGAGTTCTGAAATTGTTACATTACATATTATACTGCTTATTTTCAGAATTGCAGTGCCTTCCTGCATTAGACATGCATTATAGCCTGCAGTTCTATGAATCTATAAATAATGAAGTAGGAAGCTTCCTCTCTTACTGTGACATTCCCAGAATCACAAACCTCTGGTGTTTGTTCCTATCAAGGTCAATAATGTTGACTTCAGAGGCCTTGTTCGAGAGGAGGCAGTGCTCTTTCTGCTAGAAATCCCCAAAGGTGATGATGTGACCATACTAGCCCAGAACAAGTCAGAAGGTATGGAGCCCATCTTCTTGTTTGTGTATCTCAGTTCATAGAAATTAATTAAACTGACTTTTCAGAATTGGGGGTTCTGTTTTTAATGAGTGGATGAGGAGTCAGAATATGTGAATAACTTCTGCAATGCATTAATTATTTTTCCATAGATATTCAACAACAAAAAAACACCCATTATTTCTTACACAGCATGTTCTACAATATGCAGCTGCAACGTCAGGAAAATAAAATAGCGTTAATGTGCAGGAATAACCTAGCTTTCTTTTGAAATGGGCAGTTCTTCCCTCTTGAATGGAGGGGATACGTGTTTTAGTGGATCATGAATCTAGAAGGCCCCAGCTTTAGATTTTATTCCCTTTGGTAGGGGGCCTTATGGGCAACTTTGTTTGACCTCTGTCGTCATTAGCGCTGTGTAAGCGGTCCTGTGGCACAGAGCACAGCTCCAGGGAACAGTAAAAAACTATCAGTATAAATCTGGTCACAGAAGACATCCTGTAGGGCAGCTTCATATCATTCTGTTGACAGATGTCTATCATTTGTTAACAATTTACAGCTCTGGTTAAGAACAAGAATATAGGAAGAGCATTTACAACTCAGAAATGCATGTTTTCAAGAGCTGATTGCCAGTCATGAGGTTGACTGGCAATCAGCCAGTCTAAATCAACCTTTAGAGTGCATGTATGTATTACAGTCTGTACATGGAGAACTTTTCTCACTTGAACAACTCTAAAAGTACAAGCTACACACCTCTGTGTCACAACTAGTCACTTACTATGTGTTTTTCTTCTTTCAGTTTATGAGGACATTCTGTCCTCAGGCAGGGGAGATTCCTTCTTTATTAGGACTCATTTTGAATATGAGAAAGAGACTCCACAGAGCTTGGTCTTCTCTCGTGGGGACATCTTCAAAGTTGTGGATACCTTGTATGATGGGAAACTGGGAAACTGGCTGGCGATAAGAACTGGAAAAGACAACCAGCTACGGGAAAAAGGCATTATCCCTAGCAAAAGCAGGTAATTCCTGGAAGATAGATGTGGGCGTTAACCTCAGGAGGAAATATTTCCAAGTCAGGCCTTTTCATTGTTAGTATTCTAGAGAGTTTCATTTTACATATGGCAAAACTCATTTGTTAAATATTGTGATTATTCATAAAGCTGCTATATTCTAATCAGAAACAAATAGAACTAAACATTTTGTGTCATTTGGCTTGGGGTGAAACATCACAATACTATAAGTTTTCAGGTGTTTTTTCAACACTTTAATCAAACTGGGCTACATATGTGTGCACCAGCAGTTTAATAAAAAATGTGAGTATTGATATTTTTTCTGGTAGATGAGGCATTAATCAGACAAACATCATGTAAATCTGGTATTAATGCCTTATTAATATGCTAATAGATCAGTTATAGGCAGAACTGCATTTTTTGCAGATTTGAATTGGCTAATAGGCTTATAGTCTGCAGGGATAAATAAAATTACACAAGGATATTTATTAAGCCATATAGGAAAACAAATTGTGTTAGTGTGCTGTGCATTTCATCTTCAAAGTGATGGACACTTTGAAGCTAGAGATCTCTCCCATTACGAGGAGCTCTTAATGTGTGTTAAAGTCCTGAGGAAAACAAAGTGAGTACCATAATGGCTAACACAATGTTTGAACTTGAAGATGAAGCTGAAAACAAGATAGAAGCAGGCCTTGTTCTGATTAAACATTTTGACCGAAGACAAAACAAGAAGGCTTAACAGACAGAACATTTTTCTGCTTTTCAGCGTGAAATTAACCTTTTCTTGTATCCATATTTGCACGTACGTTTCTTATATAGAAGAGACTTGATTGAGTTAAGAACTTAACACCATTCCTTAATCATCACAACCATCAACCCTTTTCCCCAGTTAAAGCCATACTTTTGCAATAATGTAATTTTGTAACGTCAACCCATACTGTGATATTTCTGTTATCGGAATGTATTATTCCTTTGGGAAATATGATCATTTGATGGTACTGCTTTTATTCCAAATTGTCATTAGATTGGCTGTCTTTTTATCAACTTCCTTTCCTTCTTACAGGATTCAAGCTAGCAGGCTTGTGAACTTGAATACAGAATAAGAATGCGTACCCACAAGAGGAAGTCAGTCTTTTCACTAGTGACCCCAAGAATATCATCAAGCTGAATTTTAATGGACTCTAATGAAGGGGTCTCGCAACATTGCTTGTTAGTCAACAGCCTTTCTGCTTCTCTTAATCAGAGCGGATCAGATGGCTAATGTCCAGAATGCTCAGAAAGGATCAGCCAATGACCGCGGGGATTTCTGGAGGCTGAGGGGACAGAGAGCAGCGAAGAAGAAGGATCTCCGGAAGAGCCGAGATGATCTGACTGCCGCCCCCGTCAGCACCCGCTTCCCAGCCTACGAGCGAGTGGTGTTGAGAGAGGGTAGGTCACTGGAGGCATCGTGCAAGTCTGGGCTATGTGTAAAACCTTAAAGAAAGGGAGCTCTGACAAGAGAGAAACTAAAACGTCCATTGGTAAACATTGATAGCTCGTGGCTGCGCACACCAGTTTTGTATTAGTTCTACAGGGGCTCTTTATAGTTTTTCCCTTCTGAGAGAGACATTCCATTCCTCATATGCTGGATTTCCTTGTAAATCCTGTCTCGGCAGGAGAATGTGTTAGCTGACCACACTTATCAAAAGATCGCAGCCCTGCTTTCCTTATCGAGGCCAAATGGCCCTCTCTTTTTTTAACCACTGTTATGTTTGATATCTTATTGAATCCCAGTCAGGTGTTGTTGTAAATTTCATTTTTGAATGCACCAGCTTTAAGCCATCTGTTGTTGTTGTTACTGCTGAAACCGAGTCTTATTATTCTAGCTGGTTTTAGAAGACCTGTCGTGCTGTTTGGTCCAATTGCTGATGCCGCAAATGAGAAACTGGCTACAGAACTTCCTGATGAATTTATGATTGCTAGTAAGTATTCCTTTACTGTTTTGTCACCTTCGGTTGTTGTCTGTAGCACTGGAGAAAGCAGTAATGGAACTATTAGTTGTTATTATTTATTTCATGTGAAGTGACCTAGTGTTGCTTTCTTTTATAGAAACTGAGCCCAAAGATGCAGGGTCAGAAAAATCCTCAGGTGTGGTGCGTTTGAACACCATCAGACAGATCATTGAACAGGTAATTGGGACTGCTTGTGGGTATTAAATAAGATTAACCGAAGTTCACTTTCCAATCGCTGATGACAGTTTTAGTAAAATGTAAAAAGTGCATTATAAGTTCAAAGGAAAGCTACTTGCTGTGCCAGGGGTCAGTAGGAATCCTCTGATGGATAAACTGAAAGCATGGTTGAATTAAGATTGTCTAGTATTCCAGAGTCTTTATGTATTCTGTGTATGAAGTAACAATTTTGATTACTTTAAGAAGCCTTAAAATTAAAAATGTATTCTGCTGTAAATGTGGTATTCTGATTATAATAACTGTTATGTCATTTTTCTTACTCAGGACAAACATGCTTTATTGGATGTGACTCCCAAGGCTGTAGATCTGCTCAACTACACACAGTGGTATCCTATAGTGATTTTCTTCAATCCAGACAGCAAGAGTGGATTAAAAACCATGAGACAGAGACTGATGCCTGGATCAAACAGAAGTGCTCGCAAGCTCTACGATCAGGCAATCAAACTGAAGAAAACCTGCTCACACCTCTTCACTGGTAAACTGCATCTCATATCAATTATAAATAATAAGGATATGCAATAAAAGAAATTCTTCACAGCACTGTTTTTATCATTTTTGTAAATAAGTTTTAGTGTACCGTTAAATATGATAAACATAACAATGAGTTCCACTAAAACATCTTTGTTGTTTTTCCTTGTTGTCTGATTAACTACAGCGACTGTTGACTTGAATTCAGCCAATGATGCCTGGTATGGAAGTGTTAAGGACTCAGTAAGGGAACAACAGTCTCAGTCAGTCTGGGTGTCTGAAGGAAAGGTAATCACACTCTTTATTTCATACAGTGCAGTTTCTGTCCTTTTGTTCCTAAAAATAAGTATACACTCCCTTTCAGATTTGCTGAATTATTGCATATTTTCAAACACATTGAAAGTTGAATGATTTGGTTGATGAAATGAGACAAGCACCAAACTTTGATGTCATTTGTTCTCTCGGACTCCCTTTATACATCACTAGGACCCACAAGAACCTCTGCTAACATTTAGTGGAAAAAATTCAGAAAAATCTGAAAGGAGGTGAATACTTTTTTGCGGAACTATAGTTATGTTACATATTAATCCTTTAAAGCAGAAAAAGATGTGTTTTCACTGGCCTATGAAGAGCAGTGTGATGGATTGAAAAATTGCTTAAAAATTTATTGTTCAGGGACTTGGCATTTTTACAGGTTTGTAATGCAATCCCTTGTGAAAGTAATGATCTGGACTGTCTTTTTTGGTTAATGTAATTGAGATGAGATGTATACTGCTGATCGCATTTGTCAAGACACTCTTCACACTCATGCTTTGCATGTCCACAGAAGATAGTTGGTGGTGGTCTACAGCTTGGTTTCTGTTTTGTTTTCTGCTTCTTTTTACAAAGATCCATCATGTGTCTCTTTTAGCTGGATGGGACGGAGGAAGAACTGTACCTAAATGACGACCGCATGTCCTACCTGTCGGCCATGGGCGCAGATTACCTGAGCATGGACAGCCGTCTGACCAGTGACTACGACGACACTGCCGACGAGGGAGGGGCCTACACGGACAACGAGCTGGACGAGATCGCGGACGACCTGCAGGTCTCCGCTATCAGCCGCTCCTCGGAGCCCGTCGCCAGCGAGGAGGTACGAGGCCGGATCCTGGCAAGGGGCAGGAAAGGGAAGGAGGCGCCTGTAGATCGTCCGGAAAATTAAGAAGAAATGTCAGAAAAAAAGTGAAACTCAATTTACTGTTCACACTCTTAAAACCACAGCGTGTGTCATCTTTGCATGGTTCATGTAATGGTTTTCTAACATGTTTTTGTTGCAAATGCTCTAGCGATCGTTAAGAAGAATTCAGTAGTCTTTTGATGCTCAGAATGGAAGATGTTGTTCATATACGTTTCATTTTTTCCAAAAATGACAGTGTTAACTTGAGGATACAAGACAGCAACTGAATTCTATAAATATCTGGAAAATACTAATAGATGTTTTATAAACTAGTAGGTCATGATATTAAGCTGAACACCCCCACAGCTGGCAAAACTGTGGTTGGGAAGTAGAGCACACAGTATGTAGAAAAGAGGGGTTAGGATTCCACTGTCCACATCACACCCGTCAACATTTGGCATAATTTGAAGATTTCTCCTTTAAAAATTAAAATCCAATTTTATCACGGAAGTGATAAAAATAATCAGTATATGAAAATGGGGTTGTTATACTTGGAAAAATAGCAAAATAATGTAATATGCTTGAGAGTACTGAAATCACGTATGCAAACCAATGTGAAAAATACACCACACTTTTAGTCAGTTGGCCCATTCAGGCAACCACATGGGGAAAAACAGCTCCAAAGTTTGAAGCACTTTTTCCGTACAGTTCATTTGGATAGTGTGACACATTCCTATGATCATAATACACACTAGAGGGTGCTACATCAGATGAGGTGTTAGCAATGTTATACCACAGGAGTGCACTGTGCCCCTTTTGGACACTGTTATGTCACCAGCATTTAGCGACTTGTCGTCCCATGGGAATGTGTGTTTGGAAATTTTGTGTGGTGCATAGGTGTTTTAAATAAGCCACCCAACTTTATCAGCACCCAGCAGGCGCGACATTTTCTTTTAAAACTTGGAAGCTGTCAGAGAGGTTATTCAGACTGGGTTTTTTTTTTACTTTTCCTGATGTATACCTGTAAAAAAAACTGTGAGAAAGCTTGAAGCAATGCTCATGTCCCTCTCATACATTCTATTGGGACTTGTATAAATATGAACTTGTACTAAATGCCCTATTGTTTAGACTTTAATTGTACCAACATAAGTGCCTAAAGCATACTTTGTGCTAAAATACTGGAACAACAGGATATTAGTGTGTATTAAGAAGTAGTTTGCACACAGTTTTGTTTTTCATATTAACGATCATACTTGGCTGCTGTCCACACCTAAATTTTAAACCTCAAATTGTTTCAGCACGTGACCAGACCCAGTCCAGAGCCCAAGGCATGGGTAAAGGGAGCTGGGAGCAAAGAGGTGCTGAGAGAACCCAGTCCTCCACCTTCATTTGTACCCGAACCACCAAAGGTGAGCAGGTCACAACAGTCGTGTTCCACAGTGCACACGCATCACTGAGTCCCTTCCTGTTCACATTGGACTCCACTGACACACACTTTGTCCTAGATGATAGCTTTCAGTTTTACTTAAAACTTTTTTTTGATGTTTTTGTTTAATGTATAATATGCACACTCTCACAGTAACTATTGCTTGGAGCTCCAGATGTGTACAGGAGCTTGACTGCAGCATACCGGGAAATGCAGAATAGCAAGTAGTGGTGAGCGTTTTTACCGATGGAGACCTGGTGGCATGTACCGTTTTTAAAAGTTTGCTCCTGCTTTTTTTAATTAGGTACTGTTTGGTGCAAACCTCCCCACCACCACAATGTCAGCTCCATTATAAAGTTTCAAACGATGTTGACCCGAACAAAACTGTGTTTTTATCGCTTGCCCTCTGACACGATCTGTTGCGCAATCCACCATTTTCACGTCGCTGTCGCAGGCGAAGGTCCAGCAGCGCGAGGAGGCTGCCAGGCAGCAGTACGAGTCCAGCAGGAGCTGCGACTCTCACTCCAGCAGCCCCGCCAGCAGCGACCACCCGCGCAGTCAGGACTCGTACGGGGGGAAGCCCTACCCCCCTCCGGTCGCCCTCAAGCCCTCCTTTGGATCGCGAGCCCCCAAAGCGGCTCCTGACAGCCAGCCCCCAGAGAAGGGGGACCCCAAGGACAGCGCTGATGATCCGGCCGTGAAGTCCGTGCTGGGGAAAGTGAAAGCCTTTGAGAAAATGGACAACTTGGCGCGAGCCCAGAGAATGCTAGAACTGCAGGAAGCCCAGAACGCAAGGGTCAGTTCCTCCTGACATTCGTGGTTGTTTCACCTGCGTGCTGCTGAATTGTAAGAACGGCTACAAAAGAGAAGAGGTCACGCAGCTCATCTAGCTCATTAGATAGTATCTCATTGATCCAAGATCTGATCCAGCCTTTATCTAGAAAGAAACCAGGGTATCTTCTTCAACAACATGGCTGGGTAGCTTGGTCTCTGTTTTAAATGGACTTACATGTAGTCTCCACTGCTGTCCACTGGCTTGACTTAAAGGTGCTAGAAAAAAAAATCTAAGAAAATTATTTTGAGTACACCTTTATTAGGTGACCTCAAAGACTTTTCTGTTCAAGACTGAAAAGGAGTTCAAATTTGACCTGAAGTTTCAAAATGTAAAAAATAGGACATATTTACACACATCTTAAATTCTCTTTTTTTCTGGGTATTTACAGCATATATCTATTCTTCCATAGTGTGCAATTGAATTACTTTTTAAAGTAAATACTATAAAATAAGTGCAACTGCAATGATGTGCCATTTTATAGTGCTTTTTTAAATAATGAAAGTTATCTGCTTTCTCAATAGGTGGAAATAGCTCAGAAACATCCAGATATTTATGCTGTCCCCATTAAACCCCAAAAACTGGACCACAGTCGACCACAACCAATAGGGTAAGAAAGCTAAAAAATTGCAACTACTGTACAGTATGTATATACAGCATGTGTGCTTTTCATCCCAAAGAGTTTTGCAACATGGTTGGAGGATTTAGGCTACTTCATATAAACACAATACTCTCTTACTGGAGTGAACCTGTGTTTGCAGATGACTTCCACACAGTTTGGCCATCTCCCTCACTTTTAAAACTGCTGTCTCTGTGCACAAGGCAGTCAGGGTTCGTACAGCAGATGGGTTGCAGTGGGGGTCACCTGCATCACGGCCCTTTTCGCCTGCTGACACAAAAAGCAGCAGCAGGCAGCTTGCCAGACATCACACAGAAGTCTCACTCAGACTCTCCGTCGCGCATGACGTCTCCGATGGTTTACCTGGGCAGCCCCGTTCTCCCGGATACTCTTAGAACAGCCTGCCCGTGTAGTCCCCCTGTTCCCTCTGGGACTGCTGTTGGAACACATGCTAGCGAGAGGCGTGACTCCTCTGAGTCGGCTAGGACACATCACTTTACTGGCCCCTCCTACAGGGACACTGGTGTGCAGCGCACCTGTTCTCTGATTTCCATTTGTGTAATTAGTCTTTTACACTCTCACAGCTTCTTATGTACAGTGCTGTGAAAAGTAAGTACACCCCATGAAAAGGTGTGTGTTGTTCAACACATGTACGGATATTTGATCTTCATTTCAACAATATTGATAGATAAAGGTGATCTAATTTAACAAATAACAATGAAAATGATTCTTTGCACTCATTTTTTCAACAACAAAAAAAAAAGTCAGAAATGCAATTGACTGCTGTGGAAAAAATAAGTACACCCACTAGTTTCAAAAGCTGGTGTTGCCCCCTTTGGCAGAAATCACTTCTTGTAGGCGTTTCTTCTAATTGTCTATAAGTCTCCTACAGTACATTGATTTGGATAAATTTTTGCCCACTCCTACTTACGGAACTCCTTCAACTGTGTGATGTTTGAGGGCTTTCTTGCAAGTACTGCCTGCTTCAAGTCCCCCACAGCATTTCTATGAGGTTAAGATCTGGGCTTTGACATGGCCATTCGATAACCCTCCATTTCTTCTTTTTGGTCATGACACTGGGGCATTAGTTGGAAATCCTGAACCAGAAGGAAGAGTACCACCTACTGGTCTACCATCTTTATTTACGGCTGCAACCTAGTTTTGCCGAGAGATCTCCCTCCCCCTCCCCTGAGCAGGCCCAGCCAGCCTTCCTTAGCTAACGAGATCAAAACGGATCTGGCCACACAATGGTTAAGATTTCAGGTGTAAAGTCTTCCAGGTGAGACTTTATAGCATTTCAGATTCATTTGACAGTACGTACAAGTTCTTTTTTTTTTATGATTTTCATTCTCCCTCAAAGCATCATTAGACTTCTTATGTCGCCTCCCCTGCAGTTCTGTTTCCTTATTAGTGAAGCACCCAGTCACTGACACTGTAGACTTAATTCCACATTGGTCTTTTCTCCCAGAGCAATGGTGTGGGTCGCGAACTAATGGATGAACGCTCTCTGCTCAGTTCCAGCTCGAGGCCGGAGCCCCAGGTGCCTCCCTCGAAGCCGTACTCCGAGAGCCAGACGTACTACCACAGTGACGAGGAGGAGCAGGACTACCGCAAGCAGCTGGCAGACCAGTCCAAACGAGGCTACTACGCCAACCCTCAAAAGTACAAAGACACCGAGCTGTAAAAATGCCTTCCTTCCTTAACCTCCAGCACCATTCCACAGGGCTGCTCCCTGAACGCCGATACACCTGACTTGGAAGCTTTCCTGCTTTTAAGTTATTCTTGCTTTTGCTTCAAAGAAGTTCGACTATCTGTCCATATGGATGGGATCCAATCTTTTTTTTTTACCAGAAACCACTTTTTTTTTCTTGCCTATGCAATATTTTTTTTCAGTGTCTTGAGTTAAAATGATTGCCACTTGTTTGCTACATTTGAAAACCAAAATCAAACTTTGATGTATTGTGCATCGCAGACCTTGGTTTCATTCTTTGTAGTAATAGAAAGGAGTGAAATAGAATCTTAAGCGTGAAGTCATCTCTCAGTGCTGTAGTGTATGTCACTGGTAGTCTTAGATTTTCCATGCTTGTGCATTTCTGCTTTTGTGAACATACTTTAACATACACTGGAACTGTGTTAACATTTAAAAGTGCCTTTTTCTTTATGGGTAACACTGTGGTGCGCACACTGGAAAAAAAACGATATACTCTGATCACAAATTTTAAGAGATAATGACAGATATATAATTATTTTCATACATCATTAGTGTTCTGTATTTTTAAGCTGTATTTTAACATAAAGTAATTGAACTTGTAGAGGTCGTGTAACAATCAGGTGAAGTATGAAAATTCTAAAAACGGTGTTTGATTTTGTTTTTCCATCTGTACACATTGAATGTTTTACATTTTGCTTGATTGTAACTTGATTTACCCACATGTATGTAAGAGCTACAGCTTAATCCTGAACTGACACATTGGTGTGAGGTTGCGCTACAGCATGTTTAAAACCAGGAATGTATACCCTGGCTAAAGGCTGGTCTTCAGTTTTCACCTTACAATGCCAAATAAAATCTTTAACTTATCACGTAAAAATGCATTTCATTGTTTTACAATAAAAAAATGAAAAGGCATCCTGAATTTTCAGAAAACTGGGCATTATACTTGGCACATATTCAGTACGGTAAGGCATGTCTCACATCTGCTAAAGGAAGTACATCTCTTTAGGGTCAATTTAAAAATATTTAGTATCTGGAAAGGTACTGATAAAGTTAACCAACAAGACTACTTCACTAGTAAGACATGGACACTTGGAAGTCAAGAGCATGTATTTGTAACTATGGAACTATGGAACAGAGCTCCACCGAATGGGAGCCTATACTTGATTTAAAAGACTTAGGGTTAGTTGCACCAAAATGGATTAAAATAAACTCACTTCAATCCTTTAATAAAAAATAGGATTAGTAAATGGATTAAACAGATAATTCCGGGTTTCTAAATTAATCCTAAATATATTATTAGCCTTATGTTCCAAATGTTATAAAGGTTATCTATGCTTTGGTCACCAGAGCTTTTTCATGATTAATATTGTCATGGTTTTAGCGGAAGCAATTAATTGTCAAGCAAACAACCATCAGTGGGCTCGTGACTCAATTTATTCTGAAATAAGTTACTATGGTAATGTGCTGAAGAAAGAAGACTACAACCAACAAGAGAGAATGAGTTATTCTTGAAGTTTTCACTCCAATACAGTTTGATCCCTGTGAGGTGAAATTAGATGTTAGCATCCGTTGAAAAGGATAAATTGTTTTGCAAATGCACTGAAATTGTCTGTGTTCAGTATTATTGCCAAAATCATAGGGCAGGGTGGAAAGGAAAAATACAGGGTTGACGCATAAAGTATATTATATTGTATGCCATCCAAACTAATGCCACAATTGCCAAGATCTTGCATAAACAGTATATGTAAGTTGTGAATTTGTCTATTATTACATCTATCTTATATTGTGATTTACAGAGGGTGCCTACTGTAAGTGTATTAACTTAGTAAGCTGCCTCATGTACTGGAGAATGCATCCTGCAGCTTGCAGACAAAAAAAGATTTCTGCCAAACAGTATTAGTGGGAGCTGAATTATTCATATCATTATGCTATTTTTCCATCTTAAAGCAGCATTGATGAAATAAATCACTCTTTCACTAAATGCATTGCAGTTTTTGACCAAAGATGATAAATATATTTCAGCAGTTAGGTCCAATTACGAATTAGTACAGAGCAGGGGCAAAATTTGGATCTGCTTTATAGGCTTAACGTGTGTGCCTGAGGGTATTGAAACCTCACAATAAGTTCAAGACTTGATAGATCTGCAAAGAAAGGAGTTGGAAACTCATAAAGCTATTGAAGAATTCTTCAATTTCAAAGTTCATAGCAGGTTTGCTTTAATTGGGAACTACAGTCCCAATTTTTCAGACTGGTTATTAAATTTTGGTAACAAAATAAAATGACGGAAATGCAAAATTGGACAAATTCTAAATTAAGCACAAAATTGAGAACTTTGTGGAAGTACTGTATGGACACCATGTTATCACAAACTTTTGGTCTCTCCACAGGTGAGATCAAGAGTGGGTTTGCGAGAATTGTGATTTAAACCCTTTCTGCTAGTCACTGTAATGAGTCAAATGTAATGTGATGTATGAGCAAATAAGTACAGGTTGTGCAGCAGACATTTCACCACAGAAGTATTCCAATGTGGTCTGCATGCAGAGTTAACAAGTAAGTTTTTGGATAGAGATGTATTCACTTGTTTACAACGTAATGGGGTTGCTTCATCTCACCGGATGTTTTGTTGCCTCGTTCTTAATCACAATGACGGCAATATGGCACAGCGCAAACCTGGAAATTTAGTCTATTTTGTGATGTATATTGGGGGTTTTATAAGTTACTACTGTATGTACATTT